GTGCTAAGAAGTATCTGAGACTCTTGTCGAACAACTCTTAAGAGAAAAGATGAAGGAAAAGATGTTGCTCTTCCACCTTTGTTTGACTTCTCTTCAGTAAAAGTCAAGCTAGCAACAAGGTATCAAGATTGCAATTGTCCCATTTGCCAAGTTGGTCATTTAGAGCTGTATGAGAAAAACCCTGTCAGGTGCTCCAAATCTGAGGAAGACAATACTCCCCAACGATGTGGTGATTGCTTGAGTCTTGTTGGAAGAAGTCTGCCACATCAGTACACTCATTTCAAATTTAAAGGGAATCCAAAACAGTTAGCTACAGCAGATCCATTGACTGCAGAACAAATTGCAACTCAAATAATCTCTTCCGAACCTTCAACTACAGGAGTTGCTGTCAAAATTTCACACCCAAAAGGTGGTCTATATAAATTTAAGTATCACTATATTACACATACCGCGACGTTAGAATTATCTTATTCTATCTCCACATTTTTTAGTTTTGAGATAAAACGATTTAAAAAACAAAAAATTTAGGAGACGGCGTATAAATTTTTTTTTATAACTTATGTTTTTTCGCAACTTTTTTACTTAGATTTCAATTCAGTAGAAAGACATTATTTTGAGGAACACAACACTATCATAAACTCAATTTTTTCAGAAAGTGGAGATAGAATAAGATAATTCTAACGTCGCGATATTGTGACATTTAAATTTAAAGTAAAGATATTTTAAAATGTTTACATTTTTTAGGAAGCTCAAGCGCCAGAAAGCTTTTTCCAGAGCCAAGAATAAAAACTGAAGATCTTATGCAGGTGCAGTTGAATACAGGACATATCTAACTAAGGAATCTAACTAACTAACTACGGAAACTAACGAAGGAATTATTAAGGAATAAGTCATATCTAGGCATGAAAAATCTTGGCATCAACCATTAGTCAGTAATGGTGGAGGATTTCTCAAAGTGTCACTAAGTTCTCAAGGTGTCATTAAGCTGAATTCTCAGAGTGATTCAAGGTCACCACCACACAAAAAACTTTTAACTTAAAGGATAGCCAAAGACAGCAGTGTCAAGCATCAACCATTAACATAGTCAGTAATACCAAGATTGTGGATCCAATTTTTTGTGCTAAGTTTGAGGCCATTCGTGCACAGCTATCTAAATTTTTCACTCAAATTAGCATCAGAGTTTTTTCAGAAAGCAATCACAACTCCACTGACTATGTGGTTGTGCATTGCAAGGATCTTACCCAACTTCTCAATAAAGTACTCCTTTCTCAAAGAGAATTCCAGAGCCATATAGTCAAGTTAGGAATTGATGGATGGTGGAGGATTTCTCAAAGTGTCACTAAGTTTTCAAGGTGTCATTAAGCTGAATTCTCAGAGTGATTCAAGGTCACCACCACACAAAAAACTTTTAACTTAAAGGATAGCCAAAGACAGCAGTGTCAAGCGCCAAATGCTTGTGGCTGTTTTAGAGGGATTTCCCGAAAACTTTGAAAATGTGAGACAAATATTATCAATGATCAATTTTTAACTCAGTCAACTTTGTTGTTTCATGTGATATGAAACTCGCCAACATTTTATGTGGATTGCAAAACCATATAAGTTTTCACCATTGCTCATGGTGCGACATTAAATGGTCCATGCACCATTGCTGTCTGGATCTGAAAACAAACTCATCTTGGAGCTTATACCCCCAATGGAGCTCCATCTGCTTCTTGGTATGGTAAATCACTTGTACAAAGCCTCGACAGAAGTTTGGCTTGGTGCTTTCATATGGCCTTCAGCTCTCCACATCCAACAAGAGCCATATCATGGTGGGCAGTTTGCAGGAAATGCCTGTCACAAGCTACTTAACAATATAGACATCTTCCAAAGGATTGCAGAGTCAGAGTTTGCTTTTCAAGTTTTTGGAATGGTTGATGTCCTTCGAAAGTTTTAACCTGTGGTGAAAGCATGTTTTGGAATGATCCTTAAGGATGTTTTTGCAGAAAAAATTGATCGCTTCAAAGACTCATATCTGGCAGTTATGAACATCAGTTTGTTCCCAAAGGATCATGCTGTTTTCTTCCGTGTAAAGCAATTCATTGAGATGAAAAAAGCTTCATTGAGGATCTTTAGTGAGCAGGCAACAGAATCAATGCATCATCATTTTAGCTCACGCTGGCAAATGTACAAGTGAGATCGCAATCATCCAGAATATGCAAAATGGCTTTTTCCTTTTGTTGTGGATGACAACAGCAAGCAATTGTAAAGAATTTAGTCTTTAGAAAGTTTAAACTGAGAAATTTACTAGTTTCTTTTTTTATTTACTAGAATTCAAAGTAGGTACAGTGTTTTAAAGCAGAGTATCAAAAAAATGTTTTCACAGAAAATTTGTTTTGCAGTTTCCCATTTTTTGAAAGAATGTTTCAAATTTCTGTAAAATACCCATCTTTGTCTTTGTTATGTATATTTGTATGTTTAGAGTAATAAATAATAGTATTAGAATGTTTTTGAATGCTGTAAAAATGTAAAATTTGAAAAGCTGTCTTTTCGTTATATTGTGCAAAATGGTTTAAACTTAAAATTAAATTTATTTTCTCGGATGAAATAAATGGATTTCAAGTTTTACATTTTTAGAGTCAGGAAACATTGTATTTTCACCCAGTCAAAGCGGTTTTAGGGTCAGCTCAAAGTAGTTGTCGGCCATTTTGTACAACAGTGTCCTGATATCGAAATGACCGTGCAACACACCTTAGCTATTCACACGCACTTAATACCCCACACCTAGTAATGAAACGCACTACTTTTGTTTAAGCTTTAACATGACTGAAGCGAGTCTCAGGTCTAGACCCGTCAAGTAAATTGGGTATAAATCTAGATAGGGTCCATTCCAGACCCGATACCTAATTGGTATAGTTCAATGTTGAAGTGTGAAATACACTTGAAGATGATCATTATTTAATTCTTATTACTCTTTTTTGATCTTTTTAGTAAATTTAACTTATAAATAAATTTACAATGGATGATTAGTAAAATAATAATTTAATTACGGATTGTAAAACAAGATAGCAAGAAGAGATTTCAATGCTGTTAAGTTAGCAAATTGTATAAAATGACTCTTGATAACATCAGCAAATGCAATTCAATAAGTGATAGACAGTAAGAAATTGTATCAGAACTTTCAAAAGTTTTTATTCCCGTACATTTTTTACTAATTTAAATTTACGACTTTATTTTTTTAGCAAGAAATAATCTCGTGATTTGGTACTCTGATTAATTTTTAATTTAATTTTTTTTAAATTACAATAAAATACTTTTAATTATGTTTTAACTTTATAAAACGAGGTCTGGAATATAACAATGCCTACGCCTCGCCCTCTTCCTTCCTTTATGACTACAATTATTGACAAATAAAAATGATTGTTTTTACCAATTTTTTTTTTATTTAATTTTTTGATAAACTAATAAAAAATTAAATAAGTGTTTATAAATGGAAACTATAACTGTTTTGCAAAAAGCAAATATGTTTTGTAGAAAGCATATGAAAACAAACAGTTGATAAAGTTATACTACAAAGTTATATCACAAATCACGTGACAAAATTAAAAAAGGCAAACTTTTTCCTATAAAAATTTAACAAAAGCTATTGAAAGTTCAACGAAGACCAAAAATAATGGCTTTAAAATTGATTATTAATCCTATATCTTAAATATTACTATAATAACTATACTTTACTTGCAGATAAAAATAGCATAAAATGATAAAGCTTAAAAAAATTTTCTTTCGATTTTAATATCTAGATTATTTTTTTATTTTTATAAAAACGAACATGATAACAGATACACGACAGGTACTCCGTCGTCACAACAACTGTCGCTTAAATTACATTTTTTATAAAAACAAACACGATAACAGATACACGACAGATATTCCGTTGTTACAACAACTGCCGTTTAAATTATTTTTTTTACTTATCTAATTAATAAAATATTTTATTTATTATACATTTGAAAACGTTGGAGAAAAAGATTTCAAACATCTGACCCAATTAAACAACATCTTTTATGACATGAAATGCGGCATCTTGTTTTTCAGTCAGTTTAATTCTTCTATAATTTTCGTAGTGAGTTATTTTTGTTACTTCAATCATATCTTCCATGTGCGTCCTATTAAATTAGAGGATATCAACAACCTTCACATCAATATAAAAATTTTTAATTAAATTTACAAACAAATTTTAACAGTCCGATTTTTAATATCTTTAAAAATATGCTGATTTTGTTTACTTCAATCTGATCAGGTATTGTTTTTTTATATATATACTTTTGTTTTTTATATTTTTAAAATTTTTATTTAGTTTTTTACTTACTTGATTAAAAGATCTCTAAGCAATGGAAACTCGCAATGAGCACGATTCTCAACTGAAAAAAAAAAAAAAAAAGGAAAATAATAAAATATAAGAAATAATAATATTAGGAAATAATAATATTTAGAATGAATATGATTTAAAAAATTTGGACAAAAAAAAAACAAACCTTCTATGACGCCCCATTTAGTTTTTCTTCCGAGAACGTTTTTATTTCCAACACTTACGTATCTATCGCTTCCCACTACTGCAAAAGGAATTTGCTCCTGCAACACATGTAACAATTATTTTGCAACTGATTTAAAAACTGAAAATCATTTTATAAATTGGAATCAAATAAAATAACAAACCGTGAGAATGGTAGTTACCTTGACACGATTATTCATTTTAACTTCTTCTTCAGTTAGATTAGAGTGCATTATTGGATAGATATTCAAGTTGTTTAACATAATATCTTCTCTTATCTGAAATTTTTTTTTTTCATATATTTAAAGAATTGTTTATTATTAAAAAAAATAGAATTAGTAATAGAAGTGCAGGAGTCCTTATTAAAACTTCACCAATAAAAAAAAAATCTCTAACGATGTCATTATTATTGATAACAAAGTATTAAATAAAACCCTAATAAAATTATTAAAAAAAGTCTTCAAAAATAAAATAATTAACAAATTTGTTAGATTGAAAATTGATTGATTTTAAAACTGATATAAGCACAATGTTTATAAACTTTTATACAGCGCACTAGTGTAAGTTGGTTCGTGATAAAGCACTATTAAGCTACAGGTGTTATTTCATCATGTCAGTAATAATCATTATCAATCATGTCAGCTAATAAAAAAACTATATCAAACAAATTAAGCTGCTTTTGAAACAGTTGTTGTGTCATCAATAAACATGGAGTTTATATTGAATACCTATGTATGTTTCAAATCTTTTCTGACCACAGTTTTTGTTAAGTTTGTTCATTTATGTTGCTTTCTTTCATCTTTCAAAATTTTACCTCAACTGACTGTGAAAATCTGTTTTTAACAACACTATTATCATAGCCTAAGTATTTATAACAACACTCTTATCATAGCCTAAGTGTTTTTGGAGAAGCCTTTCTAGCCATTCTACCAAGTATGGCATTCCATGAACCAGATAATGATGAATTTTGTAATGAAAAAAATTAAACTAGGTATTCAAGCAATGCATTTCCAAATAAGTTTTAAAAACAATTTTAAAACTATTTTTAATAAACATTTTTAACATAGTTTTAAAACTTGGGGAAAATACAAAACTTTTTCAATTCAACATTTTAAAAAACTGAAGAATTGGGTTCAAAAAGTAATTTTATAAAAAATAAAAAGATAGTTCAAAAAGCATGTATAAATTTGACAAATGACAAAATTTTTATTATTTACATATTTACATCTTTTCATAAAAAGCCCTTTAAACCAACACAATTGTGTAACTCCTAGTTTTGAATAAATGCGTGACAAAAAATATTTACCCTGCTTTTGAAGGCCTCTCGTTCTTCTAATGTCAATGTATCTGCTTTTGCAATGACAGGAATGACATTAACACATTTATCTAAGTGTTTCATAACCAGAATATCAAGAGGCTTTAATCTAAACACAGAATCATTACAATGTTAATGATGGCAAAATCTTTAACTAATATGTATTAAATTTGTATTTATCACTTTCCTTCCTTAAAAAAAAAAAAAGGAACTTTAAAGAAAATATTTTCCTTGAACAAAAAATGTTTAAAGAAATATATAAAAGAACCGGTAAATAGTAAATATATTTTTGTTTTGTTCTCTTATGAATGTTATTCACTAATATGAATATTGTCTCATTTGTATGATTGTTTTAACTGTTTTTCCTAGAATGGATATTAAATATAGGTAAAACAGTTAGTTTTGTTATATTTGTATATAAATTAAAAAAAAAAAAAACTTAGGGCTTGTCATACGTCATGCTTAAGATAGGGCAGGGGGGGGAGAGGAACTTTTTACTAAAGAGTTACGATGTTGTTACGATGGGGGAAGAAGGAGTCAAAAACTTTCAAAAATTGCATGACGTAATTTTTAATTTAATTTTAAAACATGGTTTTAGTTTACTATATGTATTTAATCTATAATTACTGTTGATATAACTACAATAACTACCTTGTTTTTTACGTTTTTGTTTTTGTTTTAGGTACCCGAAGAAGACCTTTTTTGTCAGTGTGCTCTGTGACACGGTCTTCTCACAGAGCAACGTGGAAGAGAATTTAACTAGGAAGTTTATGTCTTCTTCCTTACCAATGGCACAAAATACCACCAAAGCTTGAGACAGAGACCCAGAACTCCCAAAACCATTGTTGATTATAATGGTAGAACTACAATAAGTAATTTATGTAAAAAGCATAAAATGTTTAAAGCAGTTATAAGTTGATTTTTTTTTAAATGTTATTCACTTCCCTACATATACCTTAAAAAGATACCCTGGTGTAGACCCAGGAACTTCTTTTGGGATACCAGTCTCCGATGAAAGCTGGAGGTCTTCATGTGTTCATACTGTACCATAAGGCACAAATCCATACTGTACTCGAGACTTATGACATACTTCCCTAGGGCCAAGAAAGTCACTACAGTTGAGGAGACTACTTTATTATGGTTGTAATCCTCTTTCAACTCCAAAAACACAAACTTGACAAACAAGGCAAGTGTGCAGGGAAACAAGATGATATAAAAAAAGGTAGAAACTGAATTTTTAGATGGATAACCAATTTCACATCCTGATTGTAAAATTATAAGACAAAAAAAGAATCAATTTACTAGTAAAAGGGATTCATTTAGATACTTCATAACAACATTTGTATAAAGCAGAATTATATAGCTCTCATGCAGCTTTCATTAGAGACCATTCATATCAAACACCTTTTGAGTTTGATAATTTACGGGTTGTATTAAAAACTGAAATACTAACATGAATTTCAACATTTGCTCCTTTAATTTTGGAAAAAATTTACATATATACACTTACGATATATATATATATATATATATATATATATATATATATATATATATATATATATATATATATATATATATATATATATATATATATATATATATATATTTGTGATGTGCCATCGGCTAAGGCCGATTTAGACTAATAATAGGGTTTAATGTATGTTTATAAAGATAATACCCTAATATTAGGTATGCAATTTGTACATATAAGGTATGTCTATGCACCAGTTTGATTTGGCTTATTATCCAATACTGATGCATTGGCAAATGCTGATTAATCAACCGATGCCATCAGCCGATTAATTGGCCAATGGTTAAGCCGATTAATTGGTTGCTGGTTACTAATAGCATAGGCTAATAGGTCGAATCACTTCTGATAAATAGGTACATATTGAATATGTAATTTAAACCTTTAATATAATTATAATACCCTTAAATAAATACATTAAACCTATTATTAGCCTTAATCGGCCTTAGCCAATGGCACATCACTAATATATATATATATATATATATATATATATATATATATATTTGTATAGTTTAGCACTTACAGGGACAAATTTTACAAAAAAACAAACACTTACAGGGACATTAGCATAATCGTAGCACTTACTTACATTATCATAGCACTTACGGGAACATTAGCATTAGCATTATCAGGGAAATTTTAGTGTACCCATTAATTTTTTGTCACTATATGCATGATTTTTTTTGTAAAAAAATGTACCTGTAAGAAGCTTTTATAGAAAACAAAAAGTACATAGCCTGACTCGCAAGGGAGTGCAACTACATCGACTAAGGGTTTGGCCAGGCATCAAGGTCAGGCTTAGGGTTATGGCAAGGTTTAAATTTGGTTAAATTATTGTAGTTAATCATTTTTGTAAATAGATGAAGTTAAAAATGAAATATAATAAAAAATAAATAAATAAAAATAACAAAAATTAATATAAAAAATATATATTTTTATAATAAAATAATAATTTTTTTTGACATTTGTTAAGTTTGACAATATATATATATATACACCCCTTCAGAGTCCATGTTAACGGAATTCTACTCTGTGTGCGTGTGTGTTATATATATATATATATATATATATATATATATATATATATATATATATATATATATATATATATATATATATATATATATATATATATATATATAAATATATATACATACATACATACATACATACATACATACATATATATATATATATATATATATATATATATATATATATATATACATAAATATACATACATATATACATACATACATACATACATACATACATACATACATACATATATATATATATATATATATATATATATATATATATATATATATATATATATATATATATATATATATATATATATATATATATATATATACATATAGGATATATAGAAGTGTAATTTACCTGTGACCTGTTGGGGAAATGAAATAAAGACAGCAATGTACACGATTGTCAGGAATTTTAATTCTTCTGTTAATACTTATCTCTTCATTTAAATAAATGTCATACTGGCGATTTATGTAACCAACAACTGGCTCCCAACTATAAAAAAATTACAATACATTTTTATTTCAGTCATTGCTTTTTATTGTTAATCAATATTTATATTTATATTTATTTATATTATCTTGTTTATTATTTTATAAATGACAGTATACAAACGAATTTTATTAAAAACATACAGATATTTAATAATTAAAATACTTATTATATAAAATATGCAATATTTCAATTTACACTTTAACAATCACAATAACTATCATGACTAATGTTATTTTCATGTTAATATTATTGGTTGGATTATTACAAAAAATTAATACATAAATTCTCAAAATTTGATACATTGGAACAACAAAAAACACAAAAAAAAAACAACAACAATTTTTTACTGTCACAATTAATTTTAGGCAAAATCAAATTTAGGCATGTAGTAGTCATTGATGCTATATTGAAGAGATGTGAAAAATAACAAGCTATTTTAGTTCAAGTTACGTTCTGAGAAAACACTTGGTAAAAAAAAAGTATGATGGTAAAGCACTAGCTAATGTTAAAACTTTCCTAGGGAATATGGATAATTCATATGTTTCATTAACTGAAAACTAATGGATGCAATTAACTAAATTAGAAACTCATCTCATCTATTTGCTGTCACAAAACATTGTAAGCTAAAGAATTTACACCATTTTCTTGCCAGATTAGGTTAATTCTAAAATTAGGTTTAATTGCAGAAGAAACTCTTTATAAAAAATAAGAGGAATTTTAATAAAAATTTAACCGGATAATCCTAATAACTGCTATTTATATTGATCCAAATTACAGGAATTTTAACCGGATCCTAATAACTGCTATTTCAACATATCTAGTTTATACAGTGTTTCTAAAAGATAAAATAGGCACTGTAATATGGCAAATAAATAGGCTATTATTTTAAACTTTTAACTGGAAAAAGAAACTCAAAGTAGAAGCATCTTATACAAACTTTTTCCAATCAAGAAAAAAAATAATAATTTTAAGTATGGATAAAAATGAAAAGAGAAAGTCAAAACATTATATCTTAAAATGTAATTATATAATAAAAATGATTTAAACATAGAAGTTAAAACATTGATTATAAACATTTCAAAGTGAATTTAAACATCATAAAATATTTTCAAAATCATTAAAAAAAAAAAAAAATTAATGTAATAAACAAACATATATTTATATTAAAACAAAAATATATTTTTTTACTAATGTTTCATACAATGACATTATTATATTATGTTACTGTTGTTACTAGGCATTTTAAAGTCAACAAAATTTGAGTTGGAAACCATTGCTTAAAACTCAAAAAAAATTATCTTCATAACAAGTTGTTTTAAACATGGAAATTTAGTCATTGTAAACACAATGATTGCTCGCAAATACTGTTCTAAATTTACTAATAAATTTTTGTTTATGTGAAACAAAATTATTATATAAAAAACATTTATTAGTATTCATCATTATTTAATTATTTTGTTTGTGCATTTAGTGATTATTATAAATAAATATACTATTATGTTAATTACATATTAATACTACTATTATAAATAACTTATATTAATTATTTATATGTAAATGTGTTTTATTTATAACTTAGATATCAGCTTTTTTAGATTTACTTTGCCCTACTAGAAAATTCAATAAAGATTTTAAAAAAAAACCTACCAATCTTTATTGTTAATTTGATCGCCAAAGCCAGGTGTGTCGGTTACTGTAAGTTTTAAATTAACACCTTTTTCTTCTAGAACTATAAAACAGATAAAAAACACCGATAAGGATAAATTTTTCACATATTTTATGTGTAACAATATACTAACAAAGTATGAACAATAAATAACCTTAACAAAACAATGTTTCTAATTAACACATGAATATAAAAACATAATATGTATAATTAATAACTAGAGCAACACCATGTTTATAAATTGTATAATGTTTATAAATTGTATAATGTTTATAAATTGTATAATGTTTATAAATTGTATAATGTTTATAAATTGTATAATGTTTATACAATGTATAATGTTTATAAAATGTATAATGTTTATAAAATGAATAATGTTTATAAAATGCATAATGTTTATAAAATGCATAATGTTTATGCAATGTATAATGTTTATAAAATTTATAATGTTTATACAATGTATGTTTATAAAATGCATAATGTTTATGCAATGTATAATGTTTATAAAATTTATAATGTTTATACAATGTATGTTTATAAAATGTATAATGTTTATAAAATGTATGATGTTTATAAAATGCATGTTTATACAATGTATAATGTTTATACAATGTATGTTTATATAATGTATAATGTTTATACAATGTATAACATTTATAAAATGTATAATGTTTATACAATGTATAATGTTTATAAAATGTATAATGTTTATTACAATGAATAATGTTTATACAATGTATAATGTTTATAAAATGTATGTTTATACAATGTATAATGTTTATAAAATACATGTTTATACAATGTATAATGTTTATAAAATGTATAATGTTTATACAATGTATAATGTTTATAAAATGTATAATATTTATAAAATGTATGTTTATACAATGAATAATGTACTAAATTTTATTGTATACAAGTATGACTACATAAAAACAGGTATAATTTGATCTTTTTCAACAATCATCTTAATTTCTGATTCCTTGCAGCCTTAAAACATGAATTAGTGTATGAGCTTATTGTTGAAACAAATTATATCCCATTTGCTTTATTGTATATCCCACTTGCTTTATTGTATATCCTACTTGCTTTATTGTATATCCCACTTGCTTCATTGCAAATTTCTATTGGTGTCAAGGTTATTTCCTAGAAAAGTCTGTAAACAATTGCTTCACTTAAAACTAGCACAAAAGTACATAACTGTATGTTAAATACAAAAACTGCTTTATCCACATGTTTAGAAGTAAACTTATAATAAACATGATAAATTGCTGGTTTGGATGTAAACAGTTTTTTGCAGCCATTAATACAGATTCAATTAATATGCGTTAACTATTAATATAAAATACTTCTTAAAAGCAACTATACCATGAGTAATAGTTTTTATTTCTACTGTTTTGGGAATAGTATTGGTTTCAGTGGTACAACTAGCTCGTGCTGCACGTGTTTTAAACAGAGTATTGATCAATGTTGATTTACCTAACCCTGCAGAACCTATAAAAATAAAAAAAGTAAAAGTATATATATATCTTACCAATAACTTATCTCTAAAATAAATCTTTAAACACAAAATAAATTTACCAACAACCATAATGTTAAACTCAAAGCCTCGTTTCAACGCATTAAGTCTCAGTTGTTCTTGGATAGAATCAAAGCCAACATAACCATCTACAGGTGTTTTTAATTTGACACCCCATTGTGTAGTCATTCCCATTGTTTCCAACATAATATTGAGAAAGTTGTTGTATGATAGCATTCCTAAAACATGATTAACTATTAAATATCACTTAAAACATGAAAAAAAAAAAAGCAGAATAAAATTAAAAGCAATATAAAATATAATATAAATAAACAATAAAAATAATAAAACAACAAAGAAAATAAATGACTAGGATATTTTTTATTATAAAAATATGAAACAAAAAGGTTTTTATGAATATGAAACAATATTTTGCAATTTTGTGAGAATAGATCAATGACATTTTGCATATTTAACATAAAAAATTTGAAATTATAACAATAAGTTATAACTTTTTAAGTAATAATTTTAATATAATACACAATATCATTTAAAATACTATAGAGTAAAAGTGGGTCAAACCGATCAAATTTTTTTTCACTGATCAAAAAATTTAAATAAAACCTGAACTGGTAGGAATATTAAAAAAAAAAAACACCAGAAGAAAGAGAATCATCTCCTCTATTCAAATGTGTCAAAATAAAATCCAAGTCATTTTTCAATCATTTTATTTTTATAAAAGTTTAAAAGAGAGTCGTAAAAATTTTTTTCTTTTATTATTCTTTTATCGTAATAATTCGTTTAAAAATAATTTTACCCCTATCTTGTAGAAAATTTAATACCGATTACATAATTTTTTTTTGTTTCATAGTTAAAAATTAGACAAAAAAGTAAGAAAAACTTTTTTGTCTAACTTTTAACTTTTTTTCTGGTAAAACCGATCATTCATGTATTTACATTAAATTTTTTTATTAGGCAGCATGTGAATTTTTAAATCAGGTACCTAGGTAAATTAAAGTATTGGATTTTCTTGTGTGTTAGTTCCGGGTTCTTTCTATATAAAGTTATTTTACAAAAATGACTCAATGGTATTTATTAATTATTCATTTTCAAGATGACAACAAGTAAAAAGTCATACAATGAAGAAGATATAGAGGCAGCGTTAAATGATATAAAAGAAAAAAATACTTTAATCAGAAAAGCTGCATTCTAATATGGCATTTTATTCTCAACTCTAATAGGTCTTAAGAACAACAACAATGCTAGCTTCAAGGGATCAGGATCAACAGCCGTACTCATGCACCATAATTGACACAGAGTCAATTATGGTGCATGTGTTTAAGTTCCTATGTGATTGGAGTTATGGTTTAACACAAAATGATGTCAATGACTTCGTATGCGGTTACCTTCTTTGTACAAATCAATTAGACCTATTTAAAAACAGCAGGCCTGGCAAAGACTGGTTTTATGCATTTACAAACCAATAACATAAAAAAATTACGACAAGAAAAACTCACACTTTAGAATCTGCCAGAGCCGCTTCTTGTACGCAAGAAATAATTGATAACTATTTTGAAGTTGTCACTAAACAATATCAATTGTCTGGGATAACTTCTAGTTGTCATATTTGGTAACAATGAAAAAATCTATTATACAGTCTCACTGGTAAACATTGTTACAAGGTAACAATCAAAAAATCTATTATACAGTCTCACTGGTAACAATGAAAAAATCCATTATACAGTGAACAACTGCTGTAATGCTGATGGATACTTTACACCATCATTCATGGTATACAAAACAAAACAAAACTTTAGAGCTGAGTGGGCTTTAGATGGTCCGACTGGCACCAAATATTCAATTTCTAAATCTGGTTGGATGGAGCATGACATTTATTGAATGGTTGAAGGAAGTGTATATACCAGAATGTCAAGCTGTTAGTGGTACTCCCATTTTACATCTTGATGGACATACGTCTCACGTCAGTTTAGCAGCTGTATAGCTATGTCGGAAAAACAATATAATTTGAATTTATCTACCAGCCCACTCATTTCACATTCTCCAGCCACTGGACAGAGGTGTCTATTGCCATGTTAAGCCAGTGTGGAAGGCAGTTCTTACCAAATATTACAAAGACACAAAATGCAAAAACTTAGATAAAGAAAATTTTCCTACGTTGCTTAAACAGGTGTATGAGAGCGGTAAGTGTTTTAGATGTTTGCACGGTATTGCTGGTTTTGAATATACTGGGTTATTTCCACTTAACAAAAACAAAATCAATCAACAGGCATTAGCTATCTTCAAAACGTTTAATCAACCGACGTCTTCAATGCCATTGCGAACAATAAAGTCTTTAGCATTACCTTCTGAAACTGTAACAGCAGCTTCGAAGTTCAACAAGTACAAAGCACTACATGAGAGAATGAAAATCAAAATGGAAAATGAGCTAAAGAGTTTTTTTCAAGAAAAAAATCAGTCTCATGTAAAAAAAATGAGGCAACTTAATATTCCAAAAATTGCTGGGCAATGTATTACAGAACACGGTGTTGCAGATCATCTCAAAAAAAAAGAAGTTAAGCAAGTCAAATTAGCTGAAAAACAAGCGTAAAACCATCTGCAAACTCATAATGCCATTGCCAAACCCTGCAGAAAAAGAACTCAAAATATAGAACCGATTACAACACCTTTAGCCAAAAGAAGAAAAGTTATTAAATGCAGAAAGTGTAAAAAAGAATTACATTCGGACATGATGTCATGCGAGAATCCATACAGCTCTGCAACAAAACATGTCTGCCAAAAAATTTTGTAATAAGCTCAGACTTTTTTTGTTGTAAAAAATGTAAAACTTAAATCTTTTATTATTTCTGTATGCTATATAAAAAATATATTGCATATTTCTGTATGCTATATTTTAAAAAATTTAACAAATAATGTTACTTGATTTTTATTGTTCAGTGATCGGTTTGACCTGCTTTTACTCTATAAGATCAAATCAATAAAGCTTAATAGATGACATGTAGTTGACTAATTTTAAAAGGACTATGTTTGAAAGTATTGTTTCAAGTACAAGAAATCTGGTGTGGTCATGTTTATCAAAACATGTTCAATAAAACTTTATTTTATATAATAAATTTCTTCATGGTTTAATACTTGTGCTTGAATATTTTTTTATGATACCATTTTCCTACTTTTAAATGATATCCTTGGTTTCTTGTCTTTCAGCCTTTGTCTCTGAACTGATTAACTCAAAGTTTTATCAATATAAAACTTAAAAACAGAATTAACATGACCACCACATTCATGGTAAAAGCATCTAAGTATTTTACAAATTGTTTAATAAAAGTAAAAAGTGTTTTAATTTTAAGACATTTTTAACAATTTGTGGAAAATAAATAAATTTTAAATATATTAAAGGTTTTAAATCTATACTTTACTGATAATGAATTTTGTTGTTCTAAACACAAATTGAAAATAGAATGCAATTTAACTAAAATATTATATAAATATTAATAAAAAAATATTTATCATTTAAGTATAACTTAATTTTGTTACTTTTCATTTTTTTTTTACTTTATTTAATTTAGCAGTTTAATTATATTATTTAAACATTTGGTGACATTTTTTATTTTGATTAAGAAAACTCTAAATATATAAATATGTTATCATGAAATATATAAATATATTGTTATGTGTATAAATATATTATTATGAAAATAATTTGAACTCAAGAACCACACACTATTGATTTGATAATAACATAAATAAAACAATATTTTTAAACATTCCAATAATACCAAACTTTTTAAACACTTTGTTAACACAAATAAAAAACCATTTGAAGCTTTTTTTATTTGCTATTGTTAATTACAATTATTGGTAACAAATAACAAAGAAGAAAGCAATTAAAAAGTTTTTTAGATGAGAGTAAATAGTGACAATTGCTACTTATGTGGATTTATTATAAATTTCAAAAACCCTATAATTATGCTCAATGGTACACATAATACAATAGAATGTGCTAGCCATGACAATATTAAAGTTACAAACCAACTAAAATGAACTATTCTGACTGATAACACTTTAAATAATATAGCTGAAAGCTTAATCAAATTTTAAATAACTTTACAAAGTCACTTAAGTGTGATCTTCAAAAGTAACATGTGAGTTCCATCAAATAGTGAAAGATTTTTTAGTGACACTAAAATAAAAACTAAATTTTATACTAAAATTAATAAACTAAATCTGCTAAAAAAATCAAAATTTAATAAATTTAAATTAAAAAAAATATTACCAAACTATTATTGTATACTGTCAAAAATGTTATTTTATTTTGATATTTTATTATCTTTTAAATGTTTCAGGTGAACAAAGTTTAACTTTTAACTTTAACCATATTTTAAATGTTTATTAAGTTTTTTAAATAAGCACTCATATTTCAACTATTTATTATCTAAAAAAACCACTCTGATAATTGATATTTATCTTATAAAATTGCTTTGATATAGTTTTTCTTATACAGTTTTAAACAGAATTATAAAAGATATCAGCTTAGAGTAAAAACCTGCTAAATCCATTTTTTACTGTTATTATGTTTTACCAAATATTTCTAAAAACAAAAAAATACAATAGGAAAGATAGTCACTGTCAGTTTCAACATTATTCAAAAACATGTGTAAACGTGTTCAAAGTAAAACTTTAAACAATCAATTTCTTTATTTTTAGGAATAATTTTTAGTCTTTTCTGTAAAGTAACATACTATGAAGTTAGCAGGTTACATTCTAAGCAGGCGATATAAAAGATAAAATATAAAAATCGTTAAAACAAGTTCCTCTTGATTGTGCAATTCAAAGTATCAATCAGATACTTTGAATTGCATAATCAAAAGCAGTACAATCAAAAGCATGGCAAAATTTTATGGTGGAATATCTACTGAAATTTATTTCAGCTAAATATTAGCTTATTTCAAATTTTGGTATCAATTTCAATTTAAAATTTTATGTTTTTTGCGAAAACCAGATAACTTAAAACTAGATAGACTAGATAAGACTAGAAAAATAGAGTACTAACCAACCCAAGACTAGAAAAATACAAACCCACAAGTGAGAAAAATGTTTGTTTCATGCATGAGTTTTATTGAAGTAATGAAAGTAATTACGGTTAACTTAAATATTGCTAATTTTTATGTTAAAACTTTTATTGCAAAAAATAGTTTGATTTGTATAAAAAATGATTATATAAAAAAGATATGTTTTTTGCATGTTTGTTATTAATAAAACTATGAATATAAATTAAAAAAAGAAAATTTAAAACTCAAAAATAAAAATTAATAAGTACATTCAAATTAGTTACAAACCTTTTTCTGATCGAGCTTCTGATTTTTTATTCACTATTTCCTTTTCTGTTTCACTAAAGTTTGGCCCCATTAGCTGTACAGCCAATGTAGTGATAGTGGCCACATCGACCCTGCCAGTTTCTTCAACATCAGCAAATTTAAAGACTTTGTTGAGAGCTCAATAAATAAAAATCAGAAATCTTAATATTTTTGCATAATAATAGAAATAAGAAAAAATTTATGAAGAAAATTTTATTCAACACCAATATTATATTCAAAACTATGCCTGTATTGTGGGAGGAAGGGTCATCGGGTCCAATCAACTCCTCTTTTTTTAAAAATTCTTTGTTTCAAGTTTTATAATAAAAATTGAGCAAAAAAGTTTATTTGCTATTCTAAACTGCCTATTTTTTTTTTCAAAAACAATCCCCTTTAAAAAATTTAACGCTTCAAGCCTAAAAACATTGGCTTACTATCAGTAATTAAACATTGAGTACCAACTCGTAACCACTAATACAATATAAAAGCATTACCTTCTGCTTGTGAGTTTGTCAATACACTCTAAATTATAAAAATATCTTCACTTAATAAGTATAACACAAAATTAATAGAATAATAAACATAAAAGCTAAACATAAAGTATAATCAAAGATATAATTATATATTGTATACTAAAATTGATATATTGTATACTAAAACTTATGTATTTTGGCTTTTTCTGTAAAATATAAGAGGTTGTTTTCTATATAAGAAATGCAAGTGTTTGTTAAATTTAAAACAGTGCCAGATAGAAATTTTTTAAAGTGGGAAATTTCTAGATGAATACATTTAGAGCACAGCAAAACCCTAAAAAACTTTGTACACTTGTACTTTTCGAAATGAATTATCAGTTTTAATAATCATGAAATAATTTGTTTTGATTCTATAACAATGTCAAAATGTTAAAATTGATATTTTATTGAGTCAAAAACAAACAAAAATACACAAACCATTTAAATTTTCAACCATAATTGTAAATTTAACTATAAAATATTTATATTTTTCTAATATATGTTTGTGACTTTGATAATTATGATTTTGAAACTAAATTTTTTTTTAATCAAAAAATCTTTTTTATAAAATCGAGTAACTAAATTAATATAACAAGCTTAACAAGCATTGTTTATGCTTATTAAGCTTGTTATGTTAAATACGTTTATATATATATATATATATATATATATATATATATATATATATATATATATATATATATATATATATATATATATATATATATATATATATATATATGTATATAAATATATATATATATATATATATATATATATATATATATACATACACACACATTTTTATTTCTATAGCCAGTGTCACTTTTGAGTATTTATATTTCTGGTTTTTGGCACGGAATATAAATAAAATTTTTTTTAAATTTAAAATTTATAAGCTGAGAGTATACCTTGTAATTTTTTATAAACTCTTAAATAACTTTCAGATAAAAATTGTATAAAATATGACAAAACTGTATTTTAAATATATACATATATTTTAAAGGTTTTCTTGTTGTTTTTTTTTAATTGATTTATGTAGTGATCAGAAATTTAAAACAAAATAATTTTTTTTTTAATTTATTTTTTTTGCAGTAAACTATTTTGCAAGTTTAAACTTACAAAGTTTAAATTTGAAAAACGGAATAATTTATTTATTTTTGAGCATAAACAACATTTTGCTGTTGCTGATAAGATTATAGTCTAGTAAGAACTTCAGAACTATTTTTTAATTTATTTTATGATTAAAAATTTAAAAATGCAATAATTTATGTCTTATTTGCAAAAAAACATTAATAGTATAATTATATTACATATATATATATATATATATATATATATATATATATATATATATATATATATATATATATATATATATATATATATATATATATATATATATATATATATATATATATATATATATATACATATATATATATATACATATACATATACATATATATATATATATATATATATATATATATATATATATATATATATATATATATATATATATATATATATATATATATATATATATATATATATATATATATATATATATATATATATATACATTTATATATATATTTATATATATAAACGACTAAATATTTTTTATTGGATAAAATATATATTTTATAATTGTAATTAAAACTCGATTTGGCAAATTATGATTGGCTGCTTTTATTTTACTCAGAGAAATTTTGGTGAACAACTATTATTAACTTTATATATAATGTCTAAAAAAGTAACATATGGTGTACCTTTCCCGATTCTGAATCCATACTTAGACTTAAAAAATAGAAATAACAACTAAAAAATCATCACAATTTTTTCATTCCCGCCCTTGTTTATGTCAACTTAAAAGGAAGCGAATTTTTAATAAACAAAGACTCTTCGCCACCGTGAATAAAAGATACAACTTTTTTGCTATGTAAATGTTTTTTGTTTAATAAACCTTTTTTTTTTACTTTAATTCAGGGACGCGCCAACCGCACACGGATGGCAAATTTTAAGGGCGACTCTTTAAAAAAAATTAATACCAATATTCAGGGCCCAAGTAGATTCGCACAATCGTCAATTAATAAAAAACACCCTTTAAAAAAAAAACAGTTCCTTTAGAAAAAAAGTGTGTATGAAGAGAAGGGGGGAAGGGGCAGTACATCCTGGCCCTCCGGGGTCGCCGGTCCTGATATTATCTGTTTATTGAAATACTCGAAGTATTATTTTATTAAATTGAATTGCACTCCCGACAAAATTCACGTGGAAAAAATAACAATAGTTGTTTGCTTTGCGTAATGTGCATCATTAGATCACTTTCCATATATAAACAATACTTCAAAAAAAAAAGTTGAAATACAGGAACAATTTTAAAGTTTTTTACAAATTAGAACAGGGAATGTTTAACAACACTTCTTATTAGCTTTTTCAACAGCAAAAATATTAATACTCCTAGCAATCGCGATTAGGGTACAATAATGAGAATAATATGATGGGCAAACACCATGGGCTTCAAAAAAAGAGTTTTTGATTTAAACCCAAAAGCTTTTAAAATACCTTGTGTGGTACACTATTTAAGTTTAGTCATAAACGACGCAGCGAAACCTTCAATTGAAACCAAAAATTTTGGACAATAGAAAATGCTTTAACAAGATAATATGCAGATATCTGCACGAAAGTATTGTCTGACCTAGATCTGAAAATAGTTTCAAAACCAATTTGGCTGAAGCAGCAGTATTTTCAAAGTAATATGTTGCAAAGCAACAGTTAACAAAATTAGTACCCTTTGATATAAGTATAAACATACTCATGTTTGGAGTTTGCTCCATGTCTGGAAGTTAGCTATCTCAATCACCAAAAAATCCTGGATCCGTCATTGTTCGATAAGGCAATAAAAGGGCACCATTTCATTACAAAAACACTGGTGTAACAATTGATGATCCGGAACGTCACTGCAAAATTAATTTAAATTTTTTAATTGATATTAATTCTTTGACGGTTAATCGAGAGGCCAAAATTAAATTTTCTGCAGATTATACTCTTTGATCCTACAAAAAAAGAAAACAATATCAATGCATTAGATTTGTGTGATGAATTTGAAAATCTTCCAACATACATTACAGAAACAAAACATCAATTTTTTTGGATTATTTATTTTTACATGACCTTCATAATCATATTCCATCCAATAAGAATGTTTTTGACTGCGCCTATGACTGTAGCCTCGGGGGAAAGATCGTTCTCCGAATTAAAAGCAATTTTTTGTAAGATTAACCATTTACCAGGGAAGATTTTTTAATTTAAGCATAATAAGTATTGAAAGTAAGTGTGTTGAATAAATATTTCTAATATTGTTGATCAAGTTGCTGTGAAAAGATTGAGATTGATATAAGCTTGTACAAAACTTAGTAACCAGTCTATTGGTTAAAGTATTGAAGCTTGTACAAAACTTAGTAACCAGCCTATTGGTTAAAGTATTGAAGCTTGTACAAAACTTAGTAACCAGCCTATTGGTTAAAGTATTGAAGCGTGTAAAAAACTTAGTAACCAGCCTTTTGGCTAAAGTATTGAAGCAACCATTCTGGAACTTTACATTTACCGTTCATTTAAATAGTTAAATTTTCTTTAATATTTTTGAAGTTTTTAGATTCTAATTCACCAAATATTTGAGCTATTTTTTAATATGGTTGTCAGATGGTTTAACCATTTAAAAAACAACAATTTCTGCCTTGATCTATTAGGTTGATTACTTATGTGAATTTAACAAGCTTTTTAAGTGTTGTTTAATTGTAACTCACAATTCATTAAATACTTTATTTCCTGTTGTTGTGTTATGAATAAATTATTTTAAAAATTGTTCTAATTTTTATACTGAGCCAATCGAGTATTTACAACAATTCTGTTTTGTGAGTTGACCAGTAACATATCAATATAATTCTCATGGTCACACTTATACACTTGAGGTGTGTTGAGTCTTAACTACGTAAAATTAAGAATTTGAAAGCAGACAACAAAAAATGAGTTAGAAATTAAAATATTTATTAATACTGTTTTGAAAAGGTTTATGCTTTTTTTTAATCTATTATCCCTAGAGAAAAACGATTCTAATCTTTTGTAACTCTGTTTGCGAAGAAATGGTGACGAATATTTCGAATTGGTAAACTGTCTACATATTCTGCAACAGTTAGTTCTGCTAGATCGTTTCTACTCAAAATGTTTTGGAGGGTAATGAAAATTAAATTTTTTTTTTCTTGCAGCACACTTGAATCAAATTCAACTCTTCTAATATATTGCAAAGTTTTTCTTCTTCTATCTTCTATCATGCAAAGTTGAAAATTCTAATATCTTAAATCTTTCTTTATACGACTTCCACTACAAAGATTCAATCCAAACTGTTGCTCCATATGCCAAACAAAAATACCAAGTTCTTTTTTTATCGGAGCCAACGACACAGGTTTTGAAGAGGGGGGGGGGGGGAGGAACACTTTTTTTCCTTTAGAAAAAAGTGTGCCCCCCCGGCGTAGTCGGCCTTGTTTTTGTCCCCGTTAAAACAGAATTGTTCAATTTATATTTATATCTTTGATTCTTTTTACCAATATACATGAATTTATATTTCAATTCTTTGAATTTAATTAACCATTATTCAGACTGTTTTATTAACGTTTATTTCATCTTGTAATAATTTACTGTTTTGTAAAACTGTTTTACGGAGTTTTTATTGATCTGTCGCCTAAAAACGGTAGTTTAGAAAGAGTGTTGTTACTTATTATGTTATTAATAACTAAGAATGTTAGAAAATGATCTGATAAGCCAGTTTTGATTATACCTGTGTTTTTTGAAAGTTATTTGTTATCATTTTATCAAGAAGTGTATAAGAGTTTCAAAAAAGATGTTTAGAGGAACATCTTTACTAAGCGTATTTTTGGGTTCATTTAGAAATTTTTATCATTTATTTATATATAGCAAAATATTTCTAGAATAATATTTTCAATACGACTCATTTCCCTAGAATTAATCAAATTTATTATTTGAATTCAATCAAAATTTTTTATTGTTAGAACTGCTTCTTCTATATATTTATTTCTTTATCTGAAAGATCAAAGCTATTGCGGAAAATTTTGCTATTCTAGTTTCATAGTGTTATAAATAAAAAAGCAGGAAAAGAGTTTTTCAATATTTTTCTATAAGTTTTTAAAGTAGTTTTTACAATACATATGTATTGTCGTGGTTCAATTAAATGTGAGCAGTCGTAGCGCAGTGGTTAGCCTGCTTGCCTCAGAAGATTAGAGATCCGAGGTTCTACTCCACCTCTGAACATGTTTTATAAAATCGGTAAGGAAAAAGGCATGAACTTCCTTTCAAATGCTTTTCCGCAGTACTCTGTGATAAAACCTTAAAGACTTCTTGGGGCACCTATTTAAAAAAGATAATAACTAATAAAAAATAATTATAATAAGCAAAAAACAAATCGTCATTCACATTTAAATTTATGCTTGACGACCCAAGTTCACATTTAAATTTATGCTTGACGACAGCATAAGAAAGGTTAGAAAGCCCTGGTCGAGGGCGAAAAAATGTCTTTTAAACGGACAATCGTCTATTTGTCGATTAATAAAAACAGTTTTACAAATTTACATTTTTCCAAACTTTAAATAAATTCCATTTTAAAATGAAAAAGTTTAAAAAAATAAGGTTTGTCCATATTTCTACGGGAACGGATAGGGAAGGGTAAAAATATCACGTGAAAATGTGTAGTTTGAATATTTATTTTTTTAAAGCGTCACAACATTGTAACTCTTTACTCGGTGTAGTTAAGGCAATTTTAAATTATTATAGTGTCTGTATGTTATTTTGTTGACTACGATATATTTCCGTTAAAAAGATCACGTCTGTGAATTATAAAAAGACGAAAAAAATTAAAAAGATAAATTTTGCGGTATCATTAAATATAAATAGCTGAGGCGAAAAAAATGATTTTTTGAAAAATGTGTCGAAAACAGTCCAATGCTAATTTGTTATATATTATATTTGTGTCACACTGGTAAATAAGAGGTAAACTCATGGTTAAACTGTGTGTCCGGGGCTACTACTACTACTACTACTACTACTACTACTACTACTACTACTACTACTACTACTACTACTACTACTACTACTACTACTACTACTACTACTACTACTACTACTACTACTACTACTATGTGTCCTACTCTCCCCTATACGTCAGAACCGATTAGAACTAGGATCGATAGTAAATTAAGGCACTTTTTAACTCTTTCGTACCTATATAATCTTTGTAAACAGTAAAAATATACATACCATACTGAAAATGATACATTAGAGATAAAAGGCATCATATTTATACCCCATAACTATATTTTTTCAAAAAGATAAATAAAAAGAGATTGATCTCTTTTTTTAAAAAAATGAAATACCAATGATGGCGGATACAAAGATCACGTGGCTTTTGCGAATTTTTTATTTTTTACAAAAAAAAAAAAGTCTGGCTTTATGCCTTGAAAAAAGTTAATATAATACTTATCAGAACTTAAAACTACTAGAGGTGCATTCTGTAAAGATAAAAACAGAATGCTCAAGCACTTAAAAATCTCTGAGGTATCAAAAATTATCAACAAATTAGCCAGAAGCACAAAAATTTAACTAAATATAATACCACAAAAAACAGTTTTATACCATAAAAGGCATCAAACCTGCACTTCATTTTTTAAAAGATAAACTCATAGATATTATAAATCTTTAAAAAAAAATTAAAATATTAGTGATAGTGAACATTATAATCACGTGAAATTTGAAAAAATTTTTTTTTATCAAAATCAAACACTCTAAAAAAACTGTCAACTTAGGGGTCGTTTACAAACAACGTCACTAAATTTTCAATTAACTGAGATCTCTCCCTTATCCTCGTCACAACATCGTAACACTTTAGTAACAAGTTACGTATGAGTTGTCAATAAAACACTATCATCTCCCTCCC